AAGGGGGCCGAGGATACAGTCGCCCCGCCTTTGCAAAAGAAGCGCCGCATTGGCCAGTTCATCTCTGATCCAAGGCAAGTGCATGGAAACTCTCTGAACGCCATGTGTCGCGTTGCTGACACGTGCTTCCCCGCAGACCGGCAGTACGGGCGAGTCGCGCCGGCACTCGAGGTTTCAGAGCCCCCGAAGTGCTCTTTAAAGTCGTGAACCAGACCTGCGGTACGTTGCCACGCATCCCGCATGATCGTCACTCCAATGTAGTCACGATGACCATAGCAATGACCATGCCCATGGACGTGTCTCCCTCCTTTTTGTCGCTGCTAGCCATTGATATCTGGTCCGTCGGCGTGATCCTGCTGAGCATTGTGGCCGGCAAGTTTCCGTTTTTCCAGTCGTGCAGCGACGAGGACGCGCTGCTTGAAGTGGCCCACATCTTTGGTCTCGAGGCCATGCGCCAAGTCGCCGCATCATTCCGTAAGTGCCACCACTGTCGCTGCCGTCGTCGCCGTCCCCGGTCTCAGTACACTCGGCCAACGGCTCATCTAACACACGTGCACACAGGACGCACCTTTGAGACCAACGTGCCAAGCATCGCCAGCCCCATCCCATGCGCGACCTCGTGCTGCGCTTCGGCGAGGGCCGCGAGGACATTCTCGATGACGATGGCTACGATTTCCTTGACCGGCTGCTGACGCTCGACCCTGTGCACCGCATCACCGCGTCCGAGGCACTGCGACACCCGTTTCTGGCGGTGCCGGCGGGCGACAGCCAGGACGATCCTGGCACTCCTGCTAGCCAGCCGCCCGTGGCTGCGTGCCGGTGACGGTTCTGTCGCGCAGCCGCGCAGCCACGTGTCTCGTGCTGAGGAAGCCGAGAGCATGAATGGATGAACGTATGAATGAATAGCTATAAAAACGCGTTCAATGAGAGACAGGTCTGGTGGGATGCCGAGACTTGGTGAAGCAAGACACGCTCATGAAAATGGCGTGCGGTTCCCTATGGTGCGCGATGCCGACCGCAGCGACGTGGGGTCAAAGCCGTGGCCAATGATGGGCGATGCGGACGGCGACCGGTGCGACACACTCGATCGCGACAGGCTCGCCGACCGGTGCAGACCGGCGCCGCCTGGTGCGCCAAACGAAGACTGCGGCGTGGACAGCTGGCTGCTGGCCGCGGTCGTGCTGGCCGTCGTGGCCGGCGTGGTGGTGTCGGGTGTGCCGCATTTGATGGGCACCAGCACGGACGGGAACGACTCGTCGATCGTGTCCGCCGTGATGGGGCGGACAATGACGGGCGGTGTGGATGGTGTTGCGCTTGTCGTCGCAGCCGTCGTGGCGGTTGCACTCGGATCAGCGGTGGGCTGACCGGCTGCTGCTGCTGCTGCTGCCGGCAGGTGGAGTGCGAATGGCGCAGACAGCGGGACCTGCGTCTCGCCGCGTGCAAGAGCCATCGCGACTTGGCGCAGCTGGTTGTACAGCCCACACGTGCGTTGGCTCCATTCCTCGAATCCCTTCTCGGTCTCCTGCAGCTTGAGTTTGGTCGCATTCACCTGCACAGCGCCGTCGATTGGTTAGACGATGCAGCGTGCGCATCGGTCGAGGGGGGTGGGTCCAGCATGTGACGATGCCCTACCTCTGCCTTGAGAACCTCAACGACACCCGGCGCCGGGCCAATCGTCGGCGACGTGAGTTCCGACATGGACGAGCTGCTGCTATGTGGGTACGGCCACTTTTTGGACGACGTGGACACGGACAGGCTGCCGGGCCCAGACACGCGCGCGCGCAGATCCTCGAGCTGCTTCTGCAGCCGGTTGACCATAAACTCCTGCTCCTTCTCGAGCGCAATCTCCATCTCGATCTTGTCCCGCTGCAGCTGCTGCAGCTTCTTTTGCAACTGGTTCGTGATCATCTCCTCCTCGGCCTCGACGCGCAGCAGCAGGTCGCCCTTTTCGCGTTGCAGCTCTTGGATACGCTTGAGCAGCATGTTCGAGATGAACTCTTCTTCCATCTCGGCTGACGCTTGCTGTGTCCGCCCGTGTGCGTATGGTTCACAACCGAGCACCTTGTCAGATCCACGGTGCGGGGTTGCCACCATGTGCATGCTGGGCATGCAGTCTTGCACTTACCACATTGACTGCCATTTGCTTGAGAGAGGTAATGTCCGCACTACAGGCAGGGGCTGTCAGCTGCAGATCCACTCACACACATGAATGAATGCGTGTGTGCGTGCAAGATCACACACCGCAGCGTCGCGACATGGTTTCGCTCAGCGTTGAGCTCTGTCTGCAGCTTCTCGTTGCTTCGGTGCTGCCGGGCAAGCGCATCCTGCATCTCTTTCAACTTGGCCTTGAGCACCTGCGGGTCATCGCTGCATGACGACACGTCAAGCCAGCCCTGTCAGCCATGGGTCCTGAACAGCGAATGCCAGACATGCCGCCCAAGCCGCGCCAAGCCACTCGACGCACCAGTCATCCAGCGCAGCGTCGCTGTCGGGAGCCGCACGGCCAGCCTGCTCGCCAGCTGGCTCAGTCGCGGTGCCGCTGCCCGCGTTTGGACCCGCCGCTGGACCCACGCGACGCAGCTCGCCAATGTGGGCATGGAACGCCTCGACGCTCTCCTGCTGCTTGCGTTCCTTGGCGCTCAGCGAGCTCTGTATCGCCTGGTTGGCTTCCGATACCTGCACATGCCCATGCCACCGCCGGATGCCATGTCAGCCGTCAGCCGCCAAAGACAAGGGGAACGAATGCAGCGGTGGCAGCTGAGGAGGAGAAGGAAGAGGAAGTGGTGGAGGTGGTCGTGGAGGAGAAGGTGGACCCATGCACTGACCTGCAACAAGGCCTGCCCCAAGTGGTGCTGGTGCTGGCGCTGAACAGCCTCGTACTTGGCCAGCAGCCCGTCGTTCTCGGTCTTGAGCCTGGCTATCTGGTCCTGCTGCGAGTCGACCAGCCGGCGCAGCATATCGAGCGACGCTTGTGTGGAGTCCGCGGCAGCTATCAAGTCGGCCATCATGCACTACGAGGGGCGAAAGGGAAGGGTCAGCAGCCGGCATGGACGGCCCAGTGGGCGACGCGTGAATGCGGCCATGCCACCACCTTCAAGGTTGTGATGGTCGAGGGCGATTGTGAGGATTGCCGAAGCGATGGTTGGATGGCAAGCAGGTCACGTGAGCAGACACGTGACTGGATGGCAACATGCATGAAAGGAGGACCTGTGCGGCTGGAGGGTAGCTGTCTGGCGAGGTGGCCTTGAGACTCAGGTCAGTTCAACACTGTGCACCATGGCATGCCGTGTGGGTTGATGTCCCACATTCTCATCTGTTCCGATGACACTTGCTGGATAATTGCGTCGAGTGGATCTTGTCCTGTCAGCCACAAAGCGAGCAAGCGGCTGTGATGATGACGACGGAGCAGACAGCAGACAACGCAGACGCAGCAGGAGCGGCCAGCGACGAGCAGCCAGCTGTGGTCGAGCAGGTCGTTGGAGCGAGTGGCAGCCAAGCTGTCGAACCAGGACAGCCAGGACAGCCAGCAGCAACGACCGCACAGCCAAGTGTGCCTCGCTATGTGGTGCCGCCAGCCACCGGCGACCTTGCGTTCGGCAGCAGCCACTGGGACGGCAAGCCCGCTGAGATCCACGCCATGATCCTCAAGGCAGCCGGCCCACTCACTCGCTTCCTGTGCGGACTGCTCGGCGACAAGAGCCACATCGGCTACACGGCGACCCTTGAGCTGTGGATCGATGCGCTCAAGATGGACTGGCAGGGCGATCTGGCTCTGCTGCCTGACGCTTGGTTGTCGGTTGAGAACGGACTGTTCCTCGCACACTCTCGCTCCATGTACGATCGTCTCTGCAAGCGCTTTCCTCATTACACCGATGCCAAGTATGCGGGCTCCGACGCAGTCAACAACAAGTTCGCCACATCGTTCTTCAATGATCGCTTCGACAGCCATCGGCTGATTCTCATTCCCATGCGGCACGGCTGGTTCGATCTGCTCGACTTTACGTATCCGACCACGCTTGCTCGCATGGCCATCCGCTTTGGATGCCTCGATCTGCTCAAGCATCTCAACGACAAGTACATGACGCTTCAGCACTGGATGGCCGAGCACGATCCGTCAAGCGAGATCTGGTACGAAACCGTTCCCCAGGCTGCGGAACACGGCTATCTCGATGTCGTGCAGTACTTGCTCGAGGCCGGTTTGACGCGATACACGACGGAAGCCATGAATCAGGCGGCTTCCAACGGTCATCTGCATGTCGTCAAGTGGCTCCACGAGAGCAGGACGAAAGAAGTCTCGACTGCTGCGATGAATTGCGCCGTTATCAATGGCCATCTGAATGTCGTCATCTGGATCTACGAGGCACTTGGTGAGGCGTTCTCGCCCGCCGCAATGGATGCCGCCATCAGGCGTGGACACATGGACATTGTCAAGTTCATGAACTCCAAGGGCTGCCGCGCATCAAGCAAAGCTGTCTTCAATGCAGCCAGAATGGGCAACGTTGTGATGCTTCAGTACTTGATGGATTGCGGATACGCGGTTGGACTCGATGCACTCGACTGCGCTCCGAATGCCGAAATCGCCGATTTGCTCTTTGGCAGCCTCACACTGGACCAGGCACAGACGCTGCTTGCCCAAGCGACCGGAGAAAAAGCCACCGTCAAGAGACTCGAAGCGACCATCCAGGAACTGCAGCAGCCGCGCAAGTGATGAATGAATAGCCAAGCCTTGTTGGTTTGATTGCCGCACTTGTTGATGCCAAATGCCATCTGCCACATGCCCGTTCATCCCACCACGACTTGCACGGCGTCTCGCGTTGGCAATCAAGCGACTGCTGGCCGACTGCCAGCCTGACTTGGCCTGGAGAGTGTGTGCGTTGATCCGCGAGGGGCTGCGCCGTGCAGATGCCGCCAACAAGCCTTGCCGATCCACACAAAAAAGTGAGATTCGGTCACGTGACACCAACCAACCAATGCAAAAATGGCAGCCGAACAAAAGAGTGCTCCACGTCCGGGAATCGAACCCGGGCCGCCTCGGTGAAAGCGAGGAATCCTAACCTCTGGACCAACGCGGATAATCTCTCGATCGATTTCTCGCCAGTTGTCAATACAAATGTTAGTGGTATTGTCCCATGACCGCAATGATTGCAGATATCCTGGCACGATGTGGTGACATTGGTTGCCTTTGTACGTAGCACTGTGCTATATTCCTGTCTTCCGCATCGGCTTGCTGGATGGCACCACGATGGTGGCGTGTCTTGGTTTATCATATCTCACCAGAGAGATCCAAGAGATATGCAAGGCGAGTGTTGGATAGAGAAGGAGTAGAGCAGAGAGATCTGGCTATATCATGCAGATGGATAAGAAAGCTTCATTCCATGTGCTTGCATAGCATGCCCCACCAGTGATGGCATAGGCTCGTTGGCAAATCCCACAGGTACCCTTACCCTACAGCGCGCCGTTTGTGTGCCCAGAGCTCAGACTGGTACACCCAAATAGACGCTTGCAGGAAGTCCGCTAAACCCACCATAGCCAACCCATCACCCTCGAAGTTCCGCATCTGCTCCGCATTGAATGCTTCGCCCCACGTCCCGCCAAGTTGCCTGCGTTGTTGGTTGGTGGTTTGAAGAACGCCATGATGCCGCATTTGTCGACACCAAACGCCATCTGCCACTTGTCCGCCCATGCCGCCACGACTTCCACCGCGGCTGCCAATGCTGCATGCAACTCTGCGAGAATGACCACATCGTCTGCAAACATCAGCCCACGGATGCCATGACCGTCAGCCACGGCTGTGATGGTTGATCTCGGGGATGCCATCGAGTATGTCGTTGAGGCTGTCGTTGAGGAACAGGTTGAACAAGAGGCCAGACAGCGGGCAGCCTTGGCGGACGCCTCGCCTGACGTTGAACGGCTCAGAGAGCACATTGCCTGATCGTGCACATGCAGTGGATGACGTGTAGAGCGACTTGAGGAACTCGTACGTGCGTGGCGGGATGCCCATCTTGCGCAGCTTCCACAGCAGTGCGCCGATCGGCACCGTGTCAAATGCCTTCTTGATGTCAATGAACGCTGCATGTGTGGGCAGTTGGCGTGCACGCCGCCGCTGGATAATGTCGACGAGAGCGCAGACCTGCGCTACCGCCTCCTCACCGCGACGGAAGCCTGCTTGCTTGTGCGTTATGAGGTTATTAGCTTCAACGAATGTGTTGAGCCGCATGTGCACTGCTTTGCACAGCACTTTCAGGCCGACATTGATCAGCGAGATACCACGGTGGTTGGACGGATCGCTCAGATCGCCCTTCTTTGGCAGCGAGACGATGGACGCCGACTGCCATGCACTTGGAATGACTGCGTCCTCGAAGATGGTGTTGCACACACGCATCAGCCCCTGTGCTGCTCCCGAGATACCGGCTGCTGCAGACCGCTGGCCCTGGAGCTCCGGCGGGATCTTTGCATCAAACGCCCTTGTAGAACGACGCCGGGATGCCGTCGTCGCCAGGCGCTTTGCGTCCATTCATCTCGGAGATGGCTGCCGCCAGATCGTTCCAACAGAAAGGCAAGTTAGTGGCGCAGCAGGTGGTTGCGGCTCTCCACATCTGTTGATCCAGTAGTCGAGCTCGAAGCCGCCTGACTCGTCTGCTGCCAAGGCTGAGTAGTGCCTGTGTCAGATCCGTGCGATTGACTCGGGCTCGTGCTGCAGCACACCGTTGCTGTCCTTCAGTGGTGTCGCGGCTGCACCTGTGCGGTGCTTCCATCGTGCCATGTTGCGTGATGCCCTCCACGCTTCAGCGATGCGTCCATCATGGAACATTGTGTCAAGATCTCTGCCACGCTTCTGCCAGTTTTCCCGGCTGTCAGCACGGCAGAGCTCATTAGCCTCGCGCTTGGCTGCCTCGTATGCCTCGGCGTACGCCTCGACCTGCTTGAGCTGTTTTGGCTGATGTTGCAGCTGCTCCGGCTGCAAGGATTGATGCGGCGGGGCGAAGGCAAGTTGGTGCAAGTTGCGTCCAGCATGTCTGTATGTGCTGGAAAGCCGGCGCATGTTGTTGCTGCTGTTGCACGCGGAAACGCGATCTGCGCACGGCGCCATTCTTAACGCCGCACTCGGCAACCATATGGCGTCGCTGCTTCGTCCTGCTGGCCGCCAAGGCCATTGTGCAGCGAGTGTCTGTGCAGCGTATGCTGGTGCAAGTCAGGTCCTGCTAGCGAGAGCACCGAGCCCCATGGGCACAGGCATCGCATGCACAGCTGCTCGCCGCATTGCACACAGCCGGCTGTTTGGCGCCACGGCACACGCACGCACCATGAGCGAGCGAGACACCGAGCTGACGGCACAGCTGGAGAGCCTCATTGGCAGCTTCCAAGCTCCTGTGCGATTCGCCCTGGCGTACGGCTCTGGCGTCTACCAGCAGCAGGGCTACAGCGTATCATCGTCGTCCTCATCGTCGTCCTCATCGCCATCCTCATCGGCGCCATCAGGCAGCAAGGTGCGGCATTGCTTCGGTGCTGCTCGCTTGTGATCTGGCCTGTCATCTCACGCACCAACACCCACGACGAATGCGGGCCAATGGATTTGGCATGCTATGCCATGCCATGCCATGCCATTCACTCGCCCAAAGCCCATGATCGACTTTATCTTTGGCGTGACGCATCCCGAGCATTGGCACTCGCTCAATATCCGCCAGAACCGCCATCACTACTCGTCGCTGGCGGGGCTGGGCAGCGGCACAGTTGCGCAGATCCAGGACTCGTTTGGCGCTGGCATCTACTTCAACCCAGACATTGACATTGACGGGGCGGTGAGATTGGCATGCGCATGATCTATTGGCTCGGCCCATTGCTGACGCTTTGAGCATGCTCGTGTATATGCCGGATGGCCTGCTGTGCAGCGTGTCAAGTACGGCGTGATCAAGATCGACAGACTGATCAAGGATCTGGAAGAATGGGAGTCGCTCTACATTGCCGGGCGTATGCAAAAACCAGTGAGTGCGCATCCTCATAAGACTGTCATGATGGAGGGATGCATGAATAGGCTGTACGCGACTTGCCGATGCTGACGATTCCTGCTCTAGGTCAAGATCTTACGAGACGATGCGCGGATCCGGCTTGCTTCTCAGACAAACCGCTACAATGCCGTCCGCGCTGCATTGCTGATGCTGCCGCATCAGTTCTCAGAGGAAGATCTGTTTCTGACGATTGCAGGGCTCTCCTACCGAGGTCAGCCGGAGCGGATCGCCGACTGGTGCATTCCCAACTGCATTGCGTGCATCTGGTGGCTGACTGTGCTCCAACGACAGGAGACTTTCGGATGCGGTTTGGCGAGAATCCATACAAGATATACAACATCGTGTATGCCCAGATGGACGCCTTCCGACAGGTGTACAAGCCGATCATTGAGGACTTGCCGATTGTCAACTATGTGCCAGACGGCAGTCTCCAAGTGAGCTCAGGCCTGCTCCTTGCATCAGCAACCATCGTGCGGGATTGCTGACTTGATGGGACTCTTCCACCAACCCATGACAGCAAGAGGACAACGCCAAGTTGCGTGCTTCCATGGTCCTCGCATTGCCAAAGCGCGTTTACGAACGCATAAAGAGCCACCACCTTTGGTACTTGTCTCGCAAGGGAAAGCTCAAGGTTGACCGTGCAGATCCGATGTTTGCACTGTCGGTTGTCGAGTCTCCCGAACTGCCCGTCTATGTCGAGAAGGGTGGGTTGAGCAACTGCCCGGCCGCTGGAGTCATGCATGCCGTGCATTCACAGACAACTGACACTCGCGTGCCTTGCGGTGACCAGCATTGGCCGAGATCGTCGCAATGCCTGCACTGACACAGTCGCTCAAGGCGTGTTGACAGCGGGGCTCTCGAGATCGTTTGTGTATGCTGGCGAGAAGGTGCAGAAGATGTTTGCAGGAAAGAAGCCCACCAAGGAATAAATAAAGCGGCAGCTTGGCTTTGGCAACCCACCAAAGGGAGACGCACAGAACTGAGCATTGAGCATGGCTGGCAAGAAGAAGAAAGGCGGCAAGGGTAAGGGCAAGGGCAAGGGCGGCAAAAAGTCCAAATCCAAGACGCCCAAGACGCCCAAGATGCAGGGCGAGCCAGCGCCCTTTCTGACACTGGTCATGTGCGTGTGTGCTCTTGTGCAGAGCACCGATTGTGTCTCTGTGTTGTGGCTCAGCCGTGTGATGCGCGGACAGATGGCTGATGGCTGATGGCTGATGGCTGATCCATGACAGGCTCGAGTCGCACAAGATTGCTGCAGCTCACTACCACAAAGAGTACCTCAAGGCGTACGTGTCGGCATGACAGCCTGCTCGCAGCCGCCTTGCATATGCCAACTCAGCCATACTCACTGCTGCACCAACGACAGAAAGGACGAATCGCGGAAGCTGCGGGAGAAGCTGCGCCAGGCAGAGGAAGACCAGTATGCACGGATGCGCACGGTTGTGTCCGACACGGACAACATGACCACGCGGTTTACGAACATGGAGGATCAACAAACAGAGTTTCAGCGCAAGCTGGATGTCAGTCTCGATCCAACCATTCTGACACAGATGGACGTCATCAAGGGTAGGCGTCATGATCAACATGCACTCGCAAGACGCTGCTGCCATGGCCATTCACCATGTCGACTGTATGTGTGTGTAGATCTGCACCGCACAATCGACCAGCTCGAGTCGGACATTGAGGCGACCAACCGCAAGATTGCAGAGCTCACAGACTTCCAGCTGCACTCAACCGAAGCCATTCTGAGCGAGGAGATCACGGCTTTGAAGGCAAGTGCAGAGGAGGCCAAGGTCACGCACAGCATAGAGATGGAAAAGCTGCTCAAGCGGCACGACATGAGCGTGTACAACACCACGAAGCAGGCCGAGCGCATCATCAATGCCGTCGAGGGTGTCGCCAGCCAGGTGAGTGCCTTCATATACTTGTTGGCAGCGTGCCCATGCTGACATGATGACCGGCGTGGCCACGACAGCGCGAACTGGACTCGATATCCGAGTCAACCCTGGATGAAGAGCGGCTCAACCGGCGGCTCAAGAAGCAGCTGGCGCGCATCAAGGAAGAGA